GGTGTAGTGTGGAATGTTGTTCAGAACCAGCAAATCCAGAGAAACGATTAGTTCTGATGGGAGTGAAGGTGATGTCTTCGCGCTAAGCTTTGATTTGGAGATTCATAAACACATTGAGACGCCATTCTGCCGGCCTACGTACCCTTTGCGGAAGTCCCCGTTAGATCAGGAACGTCGAGGTCCAGCTTGACCCTCTCTGGAACCGAAGCCGGTTGGAAAAGCAGCGGTCGCCGACCAGACCAGTCTTGAGATACTTCCGGGTCACGACAGTTTTACTGGCATCTAGCGAGACCCAAAACGGGGTCGTGCTGGTTCAGCTTTTATTCTGAAAGGAACCGTTGCAGCAGGTGGAACAGCAACAGATTTTATCCAGCTTGTCGTTGGTTCTTTTGGCTGAAAAGGAGAATTGGCCACTATGTCAACTTCTCTAGAACGCTTTGAACTCGCGTTAAAGATGACGTGGGCATGGTTTTATAATTTGGATGTTTTGATTTACAGTCAAATGAAAAGATGACAGATTTACCAAGCACCACCAAAACCACGCCTCCGTCAGATCTGGAAGATTCTGATTGGATCAGTAAAAGCAATATGTGATGTGACTTAACCTTTCGTGTGATCAGTCTCTAGTGGAAATATTTAAAGGTATATTACTTATTATATTCTATAGGATTATCATATCAAGTAATTAAGATTGGTTCACATTTTTTTATTGACTAACGCTTTGTTTGATTAGCTTTATTAAAAATAGAGTTCTTCTGATTTATAAAAGAAAGAGTTCTTTGTCTTTATTCTTCTCTTGAGCTGCAAAGGAAGCAGTTTAGAAGCAGATGCATGACCTTGAGGCAGTCTCATGCAGATTAGTTCTTCCTGAGGAGAGAGGGAAATAACCTTCGGCGGAATAGCTCCTCCATCACGTTACATTCATACAATACATTCTTCTGTTTGTATATGTAGACCACCGCGTATGCAACATTGTGTTGGTTTGGATAGAAACTACATTGTATATGTGTGAAAATACAGTAAAATGTACTTGGTAAAGCATCAGTGTTCAGCTGGTTCTTATGAATGTCCACGGATGGTTTGTGCGAGTCGTTTGAAAACAAAACACCATTTCAGAAGAAGTTACACTGATGTGATTTTGCAGGTGTAGCGTAAGAAAGCCTGGGAATGTAAAGGCCATTACACTACCCAGCCATCTTCACCAGGTCAACTGTCTGGTTTCCAAACCAGAACACGTGCTTGTTCATGACCTCACCATCTGGGAAACCACCATTACCTGTTTTATCTGTGCTGCAAGTCACAAGACTCCTTCAGAAGATGTTTTAAGTTTACTAATAAAATAATCATATTCTCTTTTATACAGTGAATTCCTAGCTTTACAGATTAATTACAATCATGGAACAATGACAGTAATAATGAATCAAAGCAACTGTTTATTGTTGAAATGTATTATTTCAGATCTTAAATACACCAAATGAATCTACTTGATGAGTTAATGGTGACAGTCATGCCACACTTTAATATCAGTATATTAACATCGACAGTTACATCATGTTTACAACACATAATATGTGAATTTGTCTTCTTTGGTATCCTAGCAACAGATGTGAGGCCAGGGGACTTTGTGAACACCTCCCACATTTTTCTGGACTCTGATTGTTCCAACACAGAACTCTCACTACTGGTGTGTAGATTCTGCAGATTCTGCTCCTTCATTCATGTGTTCATCAGCCTTTAAATGAATGTTTCTTATGCTGCACCTTATTCGTTTAGCAGACGCTTTTATCCAAAGCGTCTTACAATTTATAACCAGTAGGGCATGTTGTGATCTGTGGGGGAGACCGGAGTACCCGGAGGAAACCCACGCATGCGTGGGGAGAACACGCAGCTCCACGCAGAAAGGCTGCAGCCGAGTTTCGAACCTGCAACCTTCTTGCTGCGAGGCAACAGTGCTAACCACTGCGACACCATGCAGCCACTCTGTAGCTATTCACCCTTTAACTTTGTCTTTTTAATTTTATTTCCTACGTCTAATTTTATTTGTACCTTTAAATTAGATTTTATAATCTGCTGTTGTCAGGTTGATTTAATGTTTTATGTTCTTGCTGGAGGCTGCGCAGTGGCGCAGTGGTTAGAGCCGTTGCCTTGCAGCAAGAAGGTCCTGGGTACGCTTCCCGGCCTGGGATCTTTCTGCATGGAGTTTGCATGTTCTCCCTGTGCATGCGTGGGTTCTCTCCAGGTGCTCCGGCTTCCTCCCACAGTCCAAAAAACATGACTGTCGGGTTAACTGGTCTGTCTAAATTGTCCTGAGGTGTGTGTGTGCACGGCTGTTTGTCCTGTGTGTCTCTGTGTTGCCCTGCGATAGACTGGCTCTCTGTTCTGGGTGGGGTGTACCCCGCCCGATTGTCCATTGACCGCTGGAGATAGGCACCAGCTGCCCCCCCCCCCCCCCCCCCCCCCTTCGTAGGTTTTGGGTAGATATGTTCGTTTTTGTGATTTGCACACATATAAAAAGTTGTGGTACACAGGAGTTCTTGTGCAGAGCTTAAAGTCAAAACAACAGAATAAATAAACATAAAGATGTCTCATCCCTGTACTCACACATACACGGAGATATGTGAGGCTCTACCTCTCTAAAAGCTGTGTCAGCCTAAATGTGTCCTGTTGGGTTGTGACGAGCGCGTTTTCAGCTCCTGGTCAGACAAGCGGCTCCCCCCTGAGTCAGAGAGGGTCCGCTGCATCAGCACAACAGGTGCTTATTAGGATAAAGCAATCAGAGCGATGAGGCGGCAAGAGCGTCTTCACATTCATCAAAACATAACACATCCTGTCTTTATCGTCAGCTCAAGCCACCTTTAAAAGCAGAAAGTATGCTGCCTGTCGCTAAACTAAGAATTAATCATTTTGATTTTGGTTCATAAAAATGTTTCCTGTTGTTTGCTTTAGTTTTTCCTGCTTGCAGGAGCTGTGTTGAAATAAAATCTCTTCAGATGTCGATTAAGAACAACAAAATCCTGGACAAACATGGAGCTTTGGCGACAGTGTGTGTGTGTGTGTGTGTGTGAGTGAGTGTGTGTTTGCTTTGTGGCTTTTGTCTGAAGCTTTCATCAAGCATTAATACAAAGAGTAAACCTCAACAGCAGATGTCGGCTAAATCCGACCGTTCAAACACGCTCCTCCACCTACTGAAAATCAGGATGGAGGTGTCCCACGGCTGATGATGTCAGGATGGAGCAGGAAGTCAGTGATTGGACAGGTTTTAGAAAACAGAGGGGAAAGAGGATCCAGACCTGAGAAGCTGTTCTCAGGATTAATCCCTCCTCCTTCAGAGTTACATTTATGACTGCAGCACCTCAGTTGTCATGCTAAAGCGGTGCTTTAGCCATTACATGTGTATGCCTTTTTTAAATTTTTTTTTGCACAGTTTTATAGGCTTGCCCACATGGCATGAAATCCAAAAAGCTAATGATTTAGGAGGCTGACAGGAAATCTGAGGAATTGTACAAGGTTTGGGACTCACTGCTAGGCCAAGAGAATGTGCTCTAAAATGTAACTTAGAAACTGAAAAGGTTTAATGGACCTGGTAGTTGTTTCTCATCACAATATCTTATGAAGGTGAGCTTCACTGAGTAAAGTGTATTACATGTTGTTATTTTTGAACACGATTGGTCTCTCCAAGTTACATATGCAGGCTGAGCATGAAAATAGTCTTCTACCTGTATTTTCTGCATTAGCCACTGAAAGAAAATAGACGGGAAACTCTTGGGTCAGCAAAAGCTGACAGATCTATGTCACACTTTCAGTTAGCATTCATGAACTCATCCATCATGGCTCACAGAGCGAACAGGACGAGGGGAAGAGTCCCGTTGCTGTTATCCAAGTCACGAATAAAAGGAGTAAGACTCCAAATCCTTTGGTTTTCTCTGACAAGCTTCTGCTTCCTGAAACAGGAGCGCCTGAGCTTTATTCCTACAGAAAATGATTCATTTCTACTAGAGACCGCAGCAGATTTAACCCACTGAAATAACAGGTGTGAGCTCACTTTAAAAGAGATTTTGTCTCCATTTTTGACAAATGGACTAACAAAACATCTCGTTTCTCGTCTCGTCTTCTTCCGCCCATCTGGGTCTGGGTTCTGAGTTCCAGACCGTCCTCTCCCCGGCCACCTCCACCAGCTCCTCCGATAAGACCCCGAGGCGTTCCTAGGCCAGGTCGGAGACGTGCTTTCTCCAACGTGTCCTGGGTGGACCAGGGGGCCTTCTGCCGGCAGGACATGCCTGCAACACTTTCCTGGGGAGGCGTCCAGGAGGCATCCTAACAAGATGCCCAAACCACCTCAACTGACTCCTCTTGATATGGAGGAGCAGCGGCTCTACTCCGAGTCTCTCCCGAATGTCCGAGCTCCATCACCCTAAGGCTGAGCCCAGCCACCCCGTTGAGAAAACTCATTTTGGCCGCTTGCATCTGTGATCTCGTTCTTTCAGTCATTACCCAAAGCTCATGACCATAGGTGAGGACTGGGCGGTAGACTGACTGGCAAATCGAGAGCCTTGCTTTCCGGCTCAGCTCCTTCTCCACCACAACAGACCGGTTCGGCGTCCGCATCAAGGCATCTGTCAATCTCCCTCCTTCCCTCACTTGTGAACAAGATCCCGAGATACTTGAACTCCTCCGCTTGAGGCAGGACCTCTCTTCCGACCTAAAGCTGGCAAGCCGCCTTTTTCCTGTCTAGAACTATGGTCTCAGACTTGGAGGTGCTGATCCCCATCCCAGCTGCTTCACAGTCGGCTGCAAACCTCCCTAACAAGAGCTGTAGGTCAGAGCCTGATGAAGCTAGGAGGACCACATCATCTGCATAAAGCAGATATGAGATTCATAATAACATCCCAAACAAATACAGAAAACATCTCTTGTTCTCAAACGATCTGTATTCTCTCTTCTTCAAGGATAACTGATACTCGTACTGTCTTTTTTTCCACTTTGGGGTTTTCTGTTGGATGTTTTCTTTCCCCTATAAACAGAAACTTTTTTTTGCACTATTTACCTCACGACTGATCCTGACTGGATCCTTCCGGACAAGTCCACCTCTCCTGCGACCACGTAGAAGCACTCTGCTGTAATCCTATTATGAGCGCAGCACAAAGGAGCCTAAGAGGTTTACCCTGCTGCTTCTGACACACTGAGTTGGCTTCTCTCCCCTGAGATGCCCGGAGAGCTGTACATGTGGTCATTTGGACTTGAAATCCACAACATCTATTGTGCTTTGGTGAAAAGAAGACATATTGGTAATAGGATTGTTTGTGTGGGCTGAGGGAACACTGATGATGAGTGAAGATAAAGTGAATGAGATGATCCAGGGATGGGTAAGTCAACGATATTGCATCGGCACAACACAAATAAGATGAGAGGATTAATTGCAGGACTACCAGCGCTGCCTGGCTGCAGGATTTTGTGTTTATGGGAAACTTTAAATCTTGTCTGCTTTGATAAATTAGCTACTAGCACTAAAGCAGTGTCCGGGCCTTGTTTTACATTAAAGTACTCGTAGTTGTTTATTTATATATAACAAACAGAATAGCTTTTAAATAAAGTGTTTATTATTAATAAGTCAGACTAGAGCAGCATATTTGATAATCCTTCTTCCTGTGTTCAGCGAGACACTCCGGAAGAGGATTTGAAGCTGGAGGGGTGTGAGCAGCTCCAGACGGTTGGAGCAGCCTGTCTAAATGAAGGTGACGGCGAACGACTCCTGAAATTTGTTCAGGATGAGAAAAACCAGGTACTTTCACTGCAGCTCCATCCTCTGTTGTCTCTCCTCGCAGAAGGGAAGTGAGATCAGGCTGAAAGTCCCTCCTTTCCGCACTTCCTGCAGTTGTTTACTCAATTCAATTCAATTCAAGTTTATTTATATAGCGCCAAATCACGACAAGAGTCGTCTCAAGGCACTTCACATAATAAATATTCCAATTCACAGTTCATTAAGCCAATCAGAAATAATGTTTCCTATATAAGGAACCCAGCAAATTGCATCAAGTCACTGACTAGTGTCAGTGACTTTACAGCAATCCTCATACTAAGCAAGCATGCAGTGACAGTGGAGAGGAAAACTCCCTTTTAACAGGAAGAAACCTCCAGAGAATCCTGGCTCAGTATAAGCAGCCGTCCTCCACGACTCACTGGGGATCGAGAAGACAGAGCATGCAGACACGCACGCACGCACGCACTCATTTTGTTACTATTTCCTCTTTCATTATTTAATTCTGGATGAAAGTTTAGTTACTGGCACAAACATTATAAACATCTCAGTTCTTCAGAAGAAAGTTTGTATGAAATTCCAAATAAACTCAAACCTCCCAAAGCGTATGTCTACTCCAGTTCTAACGAAAGCTTCACGCCACAAAAAAACGTGTCCTACCACTGAGGCAGCAGTAGGTAGAGCGGGTTGTCCAGTCATGCGGGATCTCTCCCAGCTCCTGACACAGACGCTTAACCCACCTGGCCTGCTGGCGGTGGCCAGATGGACCGGCGGCAGCCCCGCCTCTGTCAGTGTGCCCCAGGGCAGCTGTGGCTACATTGTAACTCATCACCACCAGGGTGAGAATCTGTGTGAGTGATTGTGATGTAAAGTGTCTTGGGGGGGTTCTAAGACTTCTTAGGGTTCTACAACCTCCCAAGGCATCCACCCATGCAGACTCACAGAGCTGAAATGTAGCCACAGGTGCCCTGGAGTGCCCTGATGGAAGTGAGACTGCTGAACACAGGCACCACTGGTCCCTCCGACAACAACGTCCTCTGGATTGAACCTACAACCTTCTGATTGCTGCACCATCTGCTCTACCGCTTGAGCTACTGCTGTCCCTATGGGTGGTGCCAGGCTGTAGCGTGGCAAGATTAGGCCAAGCAATGGCCTGTATTTGATATAGCGCCTTCTAGAGTCCTGGAACCCCCCAAGGCGCTTTACAACACAATCAGTCATTCACCCATTCACACACACATTCACACACTGGTGGGGATGAGCTACGATGTAGCCACAGCTGCCCTGGGGCGCACTGACAGAGGCGAGGCTGCCGAGCACTGGCGCCACCGGTCCCTCCGACCACCACCAGCAGGCAACGTGGGTTAAGTGTCTTGCCCAAGGACACAACGACAGCGACAGACTGAGCGGGGCTCAAACCTGCAACCTTCCGATTACGGGGCGAGCGCTTAACTCCTGTGCCACCGTCGCCCCGATTCTTGACACCTGTTCCTTTTTATGCAGTAACACATTTAAAAGCATACAGTATTAAGGGACCTTCTTTTTAATGCCCATAGGTTATTGTGAAGTCGATGGGGTGTGGCCTCCTGGCACCTCTTGTAAGTGAAGTGGTTAAAAACAAGGAGAGCCATGATCACTGCCAGGCTGCCATCACACAGTTGACCAAGGTAGGTTCAAACAACCATCTTCAGTCTGAAGATCTACAAATAAAAGGATCGAAAATATAATAATAATGAAATGATTCTCGGCGTCTGATGGTAACCCAGTCATGACACAATTATTGTGTGTGTACATCTGTGACATACAAGATGAAAAAATAACTTATTTTAGTTTTAATTTAAACTTATCTTAACCATCTGCTCTATTTATAGACTTGCAGCCCAAATAAACTCATGCAGAGCTTCCTTGAAGTGATTGAAAACACTGATCCAGGTGTCATTTCCGAGACCATATTAGCCCTTCTCCCGCACCTTCAGACAGGTAAATTGTCATGTTCTGTGTCCCTTTGTTCCCCAGCCCCTCCAGTTCCCACTCCAGGTTCTCCTTTTGTGTTTCATAGCGCCCTCATGTGTCCTTTGTCTGCGTCTCATTTATGTGTCTCCTGTGTTCCTTTAGTCGTCTCCAGTCACCCCTCTGCAGCCAGTCACCCCTCTGCAGTGTTTGTAGTTTCAGCTTTTAATTTTTATTAGTCTCTTTAATATGTTTTGTCCCACCGGTTTTTGTAGTTCTCCTTCCCTTTAGAATTTTAGTTATATGGTTGCTTTTCTGTTTTTAGGTTCACTTTTAGGTCATGTTAGGCCTAGTCCACACATAGCCGGGTTTTTTAAAAACAAATATCCGCCCCTCCAAAAACGTGCATCCACACCACTGCGTTTTAAAAAGAAACTCTGTCCACACGTACCCGGATAAATACGTTGTTAAGGACATGCCAGACCTGTAGGCGGCAGTACTTCCCCTGTTCTTAACCTCATCCTTCATCTGTGGTCTTCCGCAAGGAGCAGTAATTTCGCTTGCAAAAACAAACAAGCAAAAAGCGCTTGGACAATTGATAAAGCGAGCGCAGCTCTGAGGGCATCCATGCTGTCGGCTAGTGTAAGCACAGGTCGCACACGTGATGTCAGCATTTTTTTGTCGCGGAAAGTGACGTTGCGGACCTTAAAACTCCGGTTTTGTCCGTCCACACGCAGACACCCAAAACGGAGAAAACGCAGATCTTCACTTTGGCCGGAGTTTTTAAAAAGATCCGTTTTCGTGTGGATGACAGGCCAAAACGTAGAAAAATATCTACGTTTTGGCAGATCCCCGGCTACGTGTGGACAGGGCCTTTTGCTTCTCAAGTCACCCCTCTGCAGTGTTTGTAGTTTCAGCTTTTCATTTTTATTAGTCTCTTTAATATGTTTTGTCTCACCGGTTTTTGTAGTTCTCCTTCCTTTTAGAATTTTAGTTATATGGTTGCTTTTCTGTTTTTAGGTTCACTTTTAGGTCATGTTAGTTTCTTCCCTGATTAGTCATTGCTTTCACCCGGTCCTCCCCCCACACTCCACACACCTGCAGCTCATCTGCCTCCCATTATGCCCCAGTGTATTTAAGCCCTGTCTTGTCTCTGTGTCTTGTCGGTCCATTGTTGTTGTTTATCAGTGTGATTTATTCTGTCAGTCTGCCCGTTCCTCTGGTATTTTTGGATGTTGGCTCCCTGCCTTTGGATTTATTCTTTTTATTTTGGACTGATCCTACAGTAAAAGGATTTTCTTTATTTCAACTCCTGCCTCGTGTCATCCTGGGTTTCTGCACTTTGGGCTCTAACATCCGTCCAAAACGTGACATAAATGAAACCTGTAAAATATTTATGTCCCACTAAACATTGTCGCCCAAAGGAAACATTGCCATTGTTTCCTAGTACAATGTATAAAGTAGTGTATAAAGAGTGATTGTGGACATCTTTTATCAGCACGGTTGTTGCATTAAACCACTTTTATGATAATTAATGAATAATAAAGTTAGAATTGTGCATGCAAAGAGTGTGAATGATTTACTGCAGCTTTTCCAAAACATGAAGTTTGGCTCCCTCTACAGCACGTAATTATCAACAAGGTAGAGAGGGATGATAAATAACAGAAACCTTTCCTTGTTTTTCCAAGTTCTTCTCCAGCTGGATGAGAGGAAGGCAGCCGGTGTGGGTTTGGTTCTATCAGCCCTGCAGAAGCAGCTGTCCTGGCTGCCCGTCCCGTACACGCAGCAGCAGGAAGAGGCTGACCAGTACGGTCTGTGTCGATGCTGCCGCGCCTTGACCATGCTCGCTCAGCCTTTTGTGGAAGAAGTGAAGAAGAAGGATGAAAACTTGATGAGTTCAGATGAAGATGAGGAGATGAAGACTGAACTTCTGAAGTTGTACGTTTTAGTCTCACCTGTGAACCGAATCGTTTTGACTGGATAAACTGGAGTGTGTGCTCTTCAGCTAGCAAAGCTTCAGATGTTTCTGTAAAAAAGTTGTACAAGGATGTAAAGTTTGATAAAAAAAAAGGTTGGGAAAGTTTTATTTTGAAATGTGTTTTTGTCTGATGTAGCTGCATGAGGAGCTTGAGGGAACCTTTGCTTGAAGCTGATCTGAACCGAGGCAGAAAATCAGCATTGTGGCTACACGCGGTGGAGATCATGGTGTGAGCCTTTATTTAGATGTTTTTCATAGCAAAGGGTTGTTTTCGCTCAAATTAACTGATGTTTGCTGCAGGGGATCCTATCTGCCAC